GGGCAGAGGGTGGGGTGGGAACCGGGTGGAGGGGAGCTATGGGGGAGGAAAAAGAGGAACAACTGTAATAATCTGAACAATAAAGGTTTAATTAAAAAAAGAAGAAGATATTCGCCAATTATGCATCCAATAAGGAGTTAGTATCCAAAATTTATAAAGAACTCATACAACTCAGCACCAAAAGAAACAACCCAATTGAAAAATGGGCAGAGGATCTAAATAGACACTTTTCCAGAGGACATGCAGATGGCCAACAGAAATATGAAAAGATGCTCAATGCCACCAATCATCAGAGAGATGCAAATTAAAACCACAATGAGATATCACATCACACCTTCCAGAATGGCTATCACCAATAAATCCACAAACAACAAGTGTTGGAGAAGATGTGGAGGAAAGAGAACCCTTATGCACTGTTGGTGAAATTGCAAATTGGTGCAGCCACTATCTAAAATAATATGGAGGTTCCTAAAAAATGTAAAATAGAACTACTTTATGACCGAGCAATTCCACTTCTGGGCATTTGAAGAAATCCAAAACACTAATTTGAAAAGATAAATGCACCCCTATTTTTATTGTAGAATTATTTACAATAGCCAAGATATGGAAGCAACTAAAGTGCCCCTTGATAGACAACTAGATACAGAAGAAATGGTACATATATACAATGGAATAGTATTTGGCCATAAATCTTATCATTTGCAACAACATGGATGAACCTATAAAGTATCATGCTAAATGAAATAAGTCAAACAGAGAAAAACAAATACCATATTATTTCACTTATATGTGGACTCTAAAGAATACAACACATGAACGAAACAGAAACAGACTCATAGATACAGAGAACAAACTGATGGTTACCAGAGGGGCAGGGAGCTGGGGGCTGGCTGAAAAGGGCAAAGGGATTAAGAAGTACATATTGGTAGTTACTAAATAGTTACAGGAATGTAGAATACAGCATAGGGAATATAGCCAATGACACTGTAATAACTATGCATGATGCCATATGTAAAATAATACTGAATGTCAAGTGTAATTAAAATTTTGTTTAAATAAAATAATAATAAAAAAAGAATGTTTACTTTCTCATTTTCTGGGAAGCATGCCAAAAAGGCTTTTCTAAGACATATCAACTTCCGGGCAGCCACATATACCTCCGCTGGTTGTGTACTGTACAACTGAGTACAGTGTTCACATTACACTCTACTTGAGTGGAATGAATTGTGCCATGCACGACCTACAGAGCTCTATGTTGTGGCCATATAAATTATACCCACTATTTTTTACTTAACAGCAACTTGTTGAACCCAGTGTGCAAACAAAGTACACAAAATTTCCTGTAGATATCTGCCATCTACACACATCGATAATCATATCACAATTAGCATATCAAACATTTAATGAGACGGCAATACTTACTGGGAAGATGTACTAATAAGGTAAAAGCAATAAACAAATAAATAGAATTGTTATTTCTAGAAACCAGGAGTCTTTTGAAAAGCAAAGTGTGATGTCAAATGGCATCTAATTCCATGCCAAGCTTGATAGCTGCCAAGAGCTGTTTATGTTTCATCCCCAGAATGGCTCTTTATTTCCTTAAGACTTGGACTCACAGATGGCACATGTTTTCTTGAACAGTGCCATTAATTTAGTTAACATATGATTGCTAATTATATGTTCTGAGTGCATCAACTGTATTAGTGTTCTCAATGGTCTCTTCGATAAAGCATGTGGGAAAGAGGAACTGCGGGCAATACCCTGCAGGACCTGCTCTTCTCTCGGCAACTTGAAGCAGTCTAATGTGTACTGACATACACTTTTTCTGCTCTTTTTTTTTATTGACATATAATTGACATATAGTTGATATACATTATGAAGCAATAATTCCCAACTAGGGAATATTAGGCAATGGAATCAAACGTTTTAATTAATCTATGCAGCAATCTGAAATAACTCTGCTCAATGGAAAAAGTAAATTCTGCTATTCAAGAATCATTTATGCCCTAGCTGGTTTGGCTCATGGATAGAGCGTTGGCCTGCGGACTAAAGGGTCCCAGGTTCGATTCTGGCCAAGGGCACATGCCCAGGTTGTGGGCTCGATCCCCAGTAGCGGGTGTACAGGAGGCAGCCGATTAATATCTCTCATCATTGATATTTCTATCTGTCTCTCCCTCTCTCTTCCTCTCTGAAATCAATAAATTTAAAAAAATTTCTTAAAGAATAATTTATCACATGCAGCTATGATTCTAGAAGCTCCTAATCTGAATTAGCCAGAGCCTATAATAATTTCTGCACGTGAACCTTACCATCCTCGCCACTAACAGCCATCTCCACACTTCGGTGACAAACATGGAAAGGATGACCTATCTTCAATCAGTCACATCGTGTCCTTGAGTGACAATATCATCAGTAAATGAAAGACAAACTGTCTATAATTACCATTAACTACAAAGTTCATCATTTTTTGAAGAAATGTTAATAAGATGCTAATTTCCAAATTGAGGTTTTATTTATTTATTTTTAATATATTTTATTGATTTTTTACAGAGAAGAAGGGAGAGAGATAGTTAGAAACATCAATGAGAGAGAAACATCGATCAGCTGCCTCCTGCACACCCCCCACTGGGGATGTGCCTGCAACCAAGGTACATGCCCTGGACCGGAATCGAACCCGGGACCTTTCAGTCCGCAGGCCGACGCTCTATCCACTGAGCCAAACCGGTTCCGGCACCAAATTGAGGTTTTAAATATCCTTCCATTATAATAGCTAACTAACATTTATATGCCACATCTTAAGTGCTTTCATACTTTTAATCTTCTCTTTCCAATAACCTTATGTTAGGTTGAGAAAGTATTGATTTCTTGTGTGTGTTTTACAGATCAGAGAACAAAGCATCAGAGAAGTTTAGTAACTTGTTTAAAGTTACATGTTAGATAAATGGCAGAGATGAAATTGGAGCCTGAAACTAAGTCTCATTTATGTTTTTTCTCTACTAAACTGTTTACCAGATGTTGGGATTTTAAACCTTTCATTTTTCTTCCATTTTGGGTCCAGCATACTAGTACATTCTTCTAACTGCAAAAGAAGAATCACATGATGCCCTTGATTAGAATGCAGATTCCTAGGCCTCCATCCCTGTGAAGTCTGGGGATGCTGCATGACCAGCATCCCGCATAATTCAATTGCGATGGTCTGACATGTGGAATTAAGCTAAAACACCCTAAATGAGAACAAACAGCTTTTCCCCCCTTTTTTCAGATCTTGCTATAGCAAGAGTCAGCCACCCACACTTGCCCTTGGCAGAGGTTCAGACAGGCATGGGAATGGGAAAGCTTTACATAAGAGTGAAAAAAAGGGGGAGGTCTCAGGTCTGCTCTGATTGGAGATTGCTGGCCTGGGCAATCTGGACGGGCTACTAGAAACAGGGGGTATTTTCTGCCATTGGTTTAGGGAGTCTATTTGGCTTTCTCTGGTGGTCCTGAGTTGGAAGTAGAGGTAAAAATAGGGAAGTTGTCAGTCTTGACCAGTCCTGCCTGTTCTGGTCCAATTGCTGCCGAGGTTGTGATTTGGCTTGCTGGGCTGCTTATGCCATTCAGAGTTCTGTTGTCACATTCGGCCTGGCCATTGTCCATTTGTATAGTCTGCCTTTCAGGACACTGAGAGAGACACTGGGTCTCTGGTGTTGCTTTCATCCAAGTCTCCTTCCTCCCTTCAGAAGGCTAGACTCTGAGCTCTGTGACAGCTGTATCCACATTCTACTACCAGTGCCTCGCCCTATCAGGCACTCAAAAAAAATCCTACAACTAAGTGAATGATAAATGAAAACATTCGATATTGGCTTTTGTTGGATCAGAAAATGAACTTTCTGGTGTGGCCCATGGACATCCTTACGTGTTGGACTGGCTATCACCAGGAGGAAGACTGGTGACTCCTCTGCCCTAAACACGGTAGCCTGAATCCTTGGCCCTGGCTGCTCCCAGCCCATCTCAAAGCTTCCAGGTGAACCCCTGGTGCGCACATCACCCCCAGGGGCTCCCTCCGGGGTGCGGTGCTGGGGGCAGGGTGGCGTTCGTGGGAAAGCCGCCGCTACTCCTGGCATTTTGAAGACAACCTCAACCCAGACCTTACTGTGCTGCATTCTCTCCCTTCCCCTCCACCCGGCCCGGCGAGAACTACTGAAGGAAGGGAAAAGGGGACTCCCTCCCCCACCCCCACATGTGCTCTTAACTCAGGACTTAACGCTGAGTGTGTCTCTAGTCGAGGGAAAGTGCTTGGGGGTGTATGTGCTTGAGACAGACCCCAGGAGAGGGGAGAGCCACCGGCCCCGCGCCGTCCCACCTGCTGCGGGGG